TGTCAGTGGACGCTCACCCTGACACGCAGGAAGTGGACTGCAGTGAGATCAGGACTCGGATCCTCTTGGCCACGGCCTCCTCAGGGTCCCGGAGTCCCCGCAGCTTCACTCAGATGCTCAGAGAGGTGAGAGCTCAGGGATGGGTGGGTACTGGTGTAATTGTGTGTTTGTGTGCGCCGGCAGTTTCAGGGCAGCGTTGTGTGGTGGTTGTTTTTCTTCAGTTGTGCGGTTATTTGTTGTGCTGTGGTTCAGTGACCTCCCTGTGTGATGGTTGTGTTGTGTGACTGTTGTGTTGTTGTTCCAGAGGGAGCAGGGTCGCTGCCTGGGCTCCAGTTTCTCTCACGGAGAGTGCAGCAACATCCGCTCACAGTGAGTACACAACCTGCACAGCATACTCAACACACACTGCTACACAGTACACACAACACTGCACAGCACACACTGCTGTACAGCACACACTGCTACACAGCCCTGCACTACACATGCTGCTGCACAACACTGCACAGCACACAACTCTGCACAGCACACACTGATATACAGTACAACAGACTGCTACACAGCTCTGCACAGCACACAACACTGTACAGCGCACACTGATACACAACACACACTGATACACAGCACTGATACACAAAACATACTGATGCCCAGCACACAACACTATACAGCGCACACTGATACACAACACACACTGCTACACAGCATTGACACACAACACACACTGATACACAGTTCTGCACAGCACACAACACTGTACAGCACACATTGATACACAATACACACTGATACACAGCTCTGCACAGCACACAACACTGTACAACATGCACTGATACACAACACACACTGATACACAGCTCTGCACAGCACACAACACTGCACAGCGCACACTGATACACAACACACACTGCTACACGGCACTGCTACACATCACACACTGCTACACATCTCTACACAGCACTGTACAGCGCACACTGATACACAATACACATTGATACACAGCTCTGCACAACACACAACACTGTACAACATGCACTGATACACAACACACACTGATACACAGCTCTGCACAGCACACAACACTGTACAGCGCACACTAATACACAACACACATTGATACAGAGCTCTGCACAGCACACAACACTGTACAACGCACACTGATACACAACACACACTGCTACACATCTCTGCACAGCACACAGCACTGCACAGCGCACACTGCCTGGCAAGCCTGCGCAGGAAGCTCCTGGCTGCAGGGGGCGCTGTGTGCTGTTGCCCTGGGCCGTAGAGCTCGTCCTCTAGGTGTTGCTCCTGTGACCTGCCCCTGCGCTCCCACAGTGGCCCGATCCCACAGCGAGCGGCCGGGAGTCACGTCTGCTCATCTGCTCTCCTTCCAGTTTCCTGCCCAACTATGTGACGTACAAGGACATCTATCAGCAGAAGGTGTTCTGTGGAGTTTACTCTGAGGATGGCAGACTGTTCCTCTCGGCCTGCCAGGGTCAGTGTCTCTC